GATAACATTGCTGGTTGCAAAGACCTAGATAGATATCTTGTCTTGCTAAGTAAAGACACAGTTAATATATGGACTATCTATACATTACAACAATAGAGGGTGAGTCTATGATCTTATATGGGAAAGGAAGATGATCTTGTAGCTCAGGAGACAACACAGGGTCTTTTATTAGCCGTTTTTCATAGTCGACAGCACATAGATGAGAAACTCTCTGTAGTTGAAAGCTACCTGTTGCTTTAGATAAGAACTCCCAGCTAAAATGGTTAATCTTTCTCTGGAGCCTTCAGGTTTGTTTATCCTGTTGCCCCAGAGTCAGGCCTTTTCCTTTATAAACTTGTGGTTTCTGTATTTTGTTTGCTGAGTCTGTCAATTAGTGAGTTCTTTTGTTTTATCTCTGAGTCTCTGTTATGTGGTGAATGTGCTGACTTTGCCTAGCATGAGTTAACTTTGGCCTGTAGCTTTAACAAGGAGCATTTACATAAAACTAGCAGCCTTAAACTAACTTAGTCTACATATGCTTCTAACGCTAATTTGGTTTATACTAATTTGACCTAACAAATGTTAATTTTGGCTTAAAATAGACCGGTGGGAGAGTCTCATACTTCCTGGTCCTCCTGTCAGTCTTAGGAAGCCACATTCCTACAAGATCACTAATTGGCTTTATTGTAATGGTTGGGGGTGATGTTTTACCCTTGCAGGGTACCGTAATAACAGTAAAACTCACAGCAGAGGAATTGAATACCAGCCAGTACAAGGACATAAGGGAGGGCTCGTAAACTGGGCCCTGCCTCAGTTTCTTCCCAGTCCAGGCCCTGCCTTAGAATGGGAGGCAGCATCCTTACCAGCTTGTGTTGCCTGCATGGCCCCGTCAAGTTAGTTTAGACCTCACTTTAGTAAAAGGGAATGGAGAGAGAAAAAAATGTTTCAGAAGAAAATTACCGTGCACACGTCACTAGATTCTAGCTTTGTCCATATTTTTAGTGTAATATCTTCTGTGCATGAATAAACATTAAAAAAAGTTTAGTATTAAAGGGAGGGAGGGGGAAGGAAAAAGCAAGTGAAACTATGCTTAATTGACCAAGAAAAAGAGAAGCTCTTTGAAGATGCTCATGTATATAGTAATATTTTTCTTTGACTGACAAAATGCATGATTTTTTCTGCTGGAAAAAGAAATGTTGTACACTGTAAAAACATGTCATTAAATGTAAATAAATAAAAAAAAAACCATACCAGGTTTACATGTGTGTACCTTGCCATGTGACCTAAGATAGGGATTAGAAGACATTTTGAGATAACCCATATTATTCCTAAAGGATTTATTTATTTATTTATTTGAGAGTTTTTTGCTATAGGGCGTGTGCACTTGCCAGAAAGACAGAGAGACAGAGCGACAGAAAGTGTGAAATCATCCCCCAGGGAGGATGGCCACACCACAATCCCTTCTCCTCCATTCTCCTCTCAAGATCTTGAGCACACACGCACACGTGCCCGGCGTGAGATTAAGCCACTTGGTCCAGGACTTGAACCGTGGTTGACTGCATGGGAGTCCAGCGACATAGCCACTATGCCAGCTGCTGGCCTCTTAAAGGATTTATAAAAACAATTGTAAATCCGACATGTAGCTGGTAATTTGAGAGTTGTACATTTCAGTATTGCCAAGGGAGTAAATGACTAATGTTTTCATCACAAAAACATAAAATATTTGAGGTGATAGATATAAGAATACTTAATTTTATCATTCCAAATTTTATTGAAAAATTATAACGTTGCACCAGCAGGTAGTGTGATGTTTCAAGTGCTGGATCTCACAGTTTGGGTCCTGAATCCAGAGATTTGAAAAACACCAGGCATGTGTGTATACATGCCTAAAATCCCAAGAGGAGAATGGAGGAGAGTAGATGGTGTGGTCATTTGCCTAGGGGTGATTTCTCACTCCTTCTCTTTCTTCTCATCTCTCTCCACAAGTACCCTATAGCAAGCACCTAAATAAACAGATGAATAAATCTTATGACACTATTTTGTACCCCAAAATACATAGTAATCCACAATATTAAAAAAAGTGAGGGTATAGTCTCCTTTTTTACATCACTATAGAAAAACATCCTGGTGTTTTCTCCATACACTGATGCAGCTCCCTGAAGAACAACTCTTCCAGGCAACAGCTACATCATCCAACTACACGTGACCTCAACCTGCTCACAGTGAACTGCAAACTCCTCTCAGTGGTTTAAACATGATTCCTTTCCTCAAAGGGAGAATGCTATTTCCAGATCTTTTAATTCCCTGGGAACGTTAGTCACACCTTCTCCATGTGCCAGGAAAGGAGAATCTCTAATGGCAGCCTGTCTCTAACCATTTCTTCCTCTTTGCTCAGTAGAGTTTAGTTTTATTTTGACTTTAAGGTTTTTGCCTTAGGACACATGCACTAGCTGGAGAGGGACAGTGAGAGAGAAAATGAGAACTCACTCTCAGGAGGGGTTCGGCATGCACAATTTTTATCCTCCATTTACCTCCTGGGATTTTGGGCTTGCATGCACACATGCCCATCATGATTGTTTTTTCTTTTTTTTTTGGAGAGTTTTTTTTTTTTTTTTTGATAGAGGGCATGTGCACTTGCCAGACAGAGAGAGACAGAGAGACAGAAAGTGAGAAATCACCCCCCAGGGGGGATGGTCACGCCACAATCCCTTCTCCTCCATTCTCCTCTCGGGATCTTGGGCATGCATGCACACGCGCCCAGCGTGCGTTTCAAGCCACTGGGTCCGGGACGCGAACTGCGGTTGACTACATGGGAGTTCAGTGACATAGCCATTCCGCTAACTGCTGGTCCCTCCCATCATGATTTTGAAGCCACTTATCCAGGAAGCAAACTGCAGTCAACCATGCAGAAGTCCTGAACCTTAAGCACCACAGAATCTGCTGCTCCAGAGGTTTTTAAAATTTCATCACTTAAATATTCTCCCTGATGATGTCTTCTCTGCTCAGGTGGTTCTGGAAGAACTACCAATATGTATTGGCTTTTCTCTTTGCCATTGAGGATATTAACAAGAGCCCCCACCTGCTCCCCAACCTTTCCCTGGGCTCTGATCTCTACAATGCCTTTCCCACTCAACAAAGGACCTTGGAGAGTGCTGTGATCTTACTCTCAGGAGGGAGTCAGCCTCTGCCCAACTACAACTGCCACAGAAAGAAGCAGCCTATTGCTGTCTTCTCAGGAACCACGTCAGCATTTTCAGCTGAGCTTGGAAGCCTTCTAGAGCTCTACAGAAGCCCACAGGTAAGCACGGTATCAGTTCTGATTGGTGATGTCTGGATCTCTCCTAATGTCCTTTGATCTCATCTGATCCAGAAAAGCAGGGTTTACATATACCTTGAGAGTTTTAAAGAGATCCCAAGACGTTTCTGGGTCATGAGAACACTATAGACAGTGTGGAAGGAGGGTAAAAAATGATGGAGTCTGAGAGAGAGATAAATCAAGGTGAAAATACGAAGAAGTAAAATAAGCAACACAAAATGGAAAATTATCTTTGAAAGATAATATGTGTAATAATATCTTTGCTAGAGCCAATACACAGTATATTCTAAATGAGAACATTTATTCATTCTGCTGTCATGATATACAGTGAATGAATGTAAAATATATTATATTTAAGTAAATAAGTAAATAGATAAAGAATGAAAAGGACGAGAAAGAAAAACGTGGTCCAGTGGAGGCCTGAGTCTCCACTTAAAGTCTTATAGGAGAACAGTTCATCGAAATCCTGCCATGGGGAGTACTGACTACTGACACCCCACAGCCGTATGCCTCTTAGGAAATAGTCACAGCACAGAAATCTACTCCAACAGAGACTAAGACATCATCGGGGACATCCACAGGACAATGACAGTCAGATATAGGGATGAGAAGTCCTGGATATCGGTCCTCTGTTGAAAACAAAAGTAAAGGGACATTGCATCCCTGGAGATTTCAAATGGGCTGCATCTCAATCAATCTTGTGGTTGATGAGCACCTCTGCCCAGTAGGGTCATCTTCACACCCATGCAGGTGGATTACTTTGTCTGAAACCTTCCAGAACACTCCATATACAGCTCTCCACACCAGGGAGTCTTCCAGAGACACTCTCTAACACAGTCATTAGTCAGGCGAGGCATTATGACAAGACACAGGTAGTATAAGCTTGAGTCAATCTTATTCTGGAATAATTATACTGGCTCATCAGAAGAGTCATAATGCAGTATTACTGATAAAAAGAAAAATTTATCATGACTTTTCCAATAACCCAATATTTCCAAAAATCAGAGAGGATTTTTTTTTTTTTTTCAATCCTCAAGACAACATAGGTTGTGTTGTGGTGATCAATTAAGTCCAGAGTATCAAGAGTAAGTCCAATACAGATTTAGTTCAAGCCAGCCCATGGATGGTACTTGGAGCAGCTCGATCCCCCAAGGCCAAATGCCCGGTTCAAGTGTCAGACCCAGCAGCTTCAGAAACATGCTAGGTACATGTGCATACATGTCCGAAAGTCTAACAGGAGCTAAAACGGAGGAGAAGGGATTGCTAAATAATCATTTCCCATAGTGGGTGTGGTAGAGGTTGTCTTCTCTCTATTTCTCTCCTGAGCACACCTCTCCTCCTGTAAAAGAAAATAAACAGATAAAAATTAAAGATTTATTTCTATCTCAGAGTTTATATCTAATTTAATTACTGGGGAAGTAAACTGTTTTTCCATAAGTCACATGGCCCAACATGGAGAAATCACCACCGCCTTGGTGGTGCCCCATCTTCCTGATCTCCACTTCACCTTCAGTTCCCACAGCAGGAGATGCAGAGCACATAGGACCTCACAGTTTTTATTTCATGCTTTTACGTGGAAGTGACAGATTTTGACCTGGTACAGTCACATTTCATTTCCTAAAAGCAGTGAGACTAGGAAACTGTATTTTATCACCAGGCTGACAGAACAAAGTCTCCTCTACTTCAGTCTTTCTCTTTGGCCAGTATTTTGATTTCTGGTCTCCTCAGGTAGAACGTTCTCTCTTCTCTTTCCAAAAGAAACATCCCCATGCCTTTGTACTATCCAGTCTTTTAGCTTCTGCGTTAGAGTGCAGACATTTGGTATGTAGTGAAAGGGGACATACGGTGCCTCTCCTTCATAGCCTGGCTTGCTTTGCTTACGAGTAAATCTCCCATATTCCTCCACTTTCTATCAAATGTCAAGGTCTCATTGTTTTTAATGACTGAGTGGTATTCCATAGTGCCTATGTGCCACATATACACTATATATACATTTTCAATTCATTTATCCACTGGTGGACATTTGGGTGGTTCCTTATCTTAGCAATTATGAACAATTATGAACAATGCCACTGTATGGCATGTGTATGGATGTGCAAAGTTTTTCAAACTGAGTGCATTCCTATTCTTTGGGTAAATACCAAGGAGTAAAATGCAGGATAATATGAAAAGAGAGGGAATCAAAAGGAAAAAAAAGAGATAGAACCAAAACATGTAATGGAGGGAACCAGCAGTTAGCGTAATGGCTATGTCGCTGGACCGCGGTTCGTGTCCCGGACCTGGTGGCTTAAAACTCACGCCAGGCGCGTGTGTGTGCATGCCCAAGATCCCGAGAGGAAAATGGAGGAGAAGGGATTGCGGCATGACCATCCCCCCGGGGGATGATTTCTCGCTTTCTGTCTCTCTGTCTTTCTCTGTCTGTCTGGCTAGCGCACGCGCCCTATAGTGAAAAAAAAAATAAAACCTCTCAAAAACATTTAATGGACACAGAAATGGAAAATTACCTGTTGATATTATTATGTATGGTAAAAATCTTGCACTTTACCAATATACAATGATTTGAAATGCAAAAATTCATTTGGTATACTATAATGATACACAGTACTTTAATGTAAATAAATAAATAAATGAATGAATAAATAAATAGGTAAATAAATAAATAAAGGTTCATGAAACATTTCTCCTGTTTTTCTATCCAAAAATGCATCATGACTTCTGGATAACCGAGTACATAAATAAATGGCAGACCCCAGTCACCCAATCTCATAATCACGCTATTTCATTTCTTATTTCAGATCACGTATGGTCCTTTTGATCCCATCCTAAGCAATAAAAACCAGTTTTCATCACTCTATCAAATAGCCCCAAAGGACAGTTTTCTGACCCATGGGATCATTGGGCTATTGCAGCACTTTGGCTGGACATGGGTAGCACTCTTTGTACCTGGTGATATGAAAGGGGAGCAGTTCCTTCAGGATCTAAAAGCACAGATGCTTAGACAAGATATCTG